CTGTGCGATCTGATGGGACGCAGGGAGGTAATTGGCAGAAGGTGGTCTCTCAAATAGCCAGATCCACTACCATGGAGCGCCTGATACCTTCAGTGTTGCATCAACCTGGATCTCTTATCTCTACATCTGGACAGTTCAGAAGGAAAAACCTCTGTGGCTGCAAAGAGACCATTCCTTCTGCTTCTTTGTACAAGCCAAAACAAGCAATGAAGCCCTGTTGGCATTTTTGTCACCTAGTGCTTTTCAGAGAGTTCTAACCATGGTTATTGTTGTAACTGCAAGAGCAAGGGAATGCTGTTGGAAGGGATTTCAACATGCTTCAGCTATTTTTAGATCCTTGCAACTCTTTTTAGAAGCCCATTAGTAGCTGAAAGAAATGGAGGCAAACCCCACAAGAGATCTGTCATCCCACGCACTCCCCCCTTATTACAGTATCCTGCAGTAGGTCAACAGGCATCTAAATTGGGGGAGGAATTGAAGGGAGGGACGATTGGCAAGGGGAGAAAATGCAATGTATTATTCACCCTGATTTTGATTTATCATAAGCTTTGGACCCTCAGAAGTGTAGGGAAGGGAGAGATGCAGGGCATGTCTGCCAAATATTGGAAATGCAATCAGACACCGGGCTCTTATTATCGTATGTGGCAAACATGCTCCAAAGCGAACAAAAAAAAGATGAAAATACACACATGGTTAGCCAAGATGTTAAAGCAACATATAGACATAATTTTGCTAGGTATACTACCAGAAAAATATGATAAAGGGAGCATATATTTAACATTACATGTCTTGACAGCAGCGGGACTTGTATTTGCACATTGGAAAAATGAGGAAATACCTACAGAAGAAAATATAATTTAAAAAATACTAGATTGCGCAGAAATGGATAGGTTGACGTTAAAGATAAAGGATAAAGAAGATACAGAATACTTTTTAACATGTTTTATCAATGGTTAGAGTAGACAATAGATGTAGAAATTAGAAACTGAAAATTATGATTATGTATAAGTAAAGTGACCCAGCACAAATTACTAAGCACAAATTATATATACTGGGAAAGGCAAAGAAAACCAACGGCCTTTGGATTGCATTCTATATGTTTCCAAAGACCAACGCGGGGCTTCCAAGGCAAAGTATGTCGCCTCTCTTGCCCCCTGGTTCGGCTTCTGACGTCTCTTGCTTTGCTTCGTGCCATCGTTCTCGACGTAACGGATTGCACACGACCAGAAATAACTGGAAACGTGCATGAGCGTACGCCTCCAAAAGCCCTCCCGCCCTGCCTCTCAACCAGCGGCGTCGCCTTCTCGGAGGGAGTCTGCAGGCGGGAATGGTAGCGATGACGCTCCCATTGTTCGGGCCGGGGCCGCTGTAATGTTTGTTAGCTTCGTGGGCGATTAGGGAAAGGTGGTGCCGCCCCTCAAATTGGTAGGGGACGGAACGCTCCCTCGGGTGGGAACGGAAGCTTTACAAATGCGGGGGTGCGGGAGGGGAAGGATTTGATTCGGGGCTGGCTTATCTGGGCTTTTGAAAAATTGCCAGGGAGGCAAGTATGGTCGAGGACACCGGCTCTTGAGTGCCCGGACTGCAGACTTTGTGCGCGGACTGACAAAAGAGCTGCGAGATCGTGATGGAAACTGAAGAACTGATGGAAGAGATCATTTGCACCTCGGGATTGAACCGTGGGGTCTTTGGTGCTCTCCCTGAGCTTGGTGGTTTTCTTGCAGGCATTTTTTTTATTACCGTACTGTTCGGTTGTGTGCGTGTGCGTGTGTGTGTGTGTGTGTGTGTGTGTGTGTGAGAGAGAGAGAGAGAGAGAGAGAGAGAGAGAGAGNCTTCTAAATACTCACGCTCCACCTTTTCGAGGAAAAAAAAGGCAAAGTCTGCTTTAAAAGGGAAAATTCCTTAAAAGAGGGCTTTTTTTTTAACAAAAAAAAAAGTTTCATTTGGCTCCCTACTGTGGGAATATAGCATATAAATGAAGCCTTTCCAGCTAGGGAAAGGGCATTTTAAAAGTCTCTCTTCATAAATAATTAAGATTAAGTCCAAGATGAAGAACGGTGGTGGAAGATGATATCCATTAATTTTTTTCTTTAAAAGGTTCATTTAACTGAATATGGATCCCCCCCCCCCCAAATCCAGATATAGCCGGGGGAAACACGAGTTTGGGAGGGGGGAATGTATCTTCTTGTGCAAAAATCCAGCAAACACCTGCAAAACATTGAAGAGAAGCATATTTAGAAGAATGCTAACAGGGCAGAGAGATCCGGGCAGACTGGCGCCAGAGAGGAAACCACAGTTTTGAGCATTTAGCCAAACACTCAAAGATTGGGCAAACCCTGGCGCCTAGATGCAGCATGTGCATGCAAATGCGTGCTTCCCTTTCACACACACACACACTCAATGAAACGAGCACAGTTCAAGAGGAGACAAGATCTCTGGCTTAAAACTCTTCAAGAGGGGACAAGAGGCCGGGCGGCAGTAAGAGTTAAAGCAACAATTTAATTAGGAGCTGCCCCAATTGATCCCATGCGGGATCCTGAGCCACACACCCCAAGTTTCACTCAAGATTTAAAATATTAAAAGAGAACTCTGCCTGGATTTATGTCGAGTCCTCAAAAGACAACAACATGCCTCGCCACTTAACATGTACAAAGTAAAGACAACAACATGCCTCACCACTTAACATGTACAAAGTATTTCTTTTTAAAAAAAAAACAAAAACAGGAATTGAGCACTTACCAAACACATTTTAGCCACAAAGTGCTTTGCTCTCATTTGACATTAACTCTGTGGGAAATTCAGCTGCCTGCAAAAGGGGGGGAAGGAAGGAGAGAAAGAGTTAAAACCCCAAAGCATTTCAAGGAAGCTTGCAAACTACTCGGGGCTACTTCCAAGGCGAGCAACCACTGCTAAGAAATAAGACGTGGGTCTTATTTACTGCTAATAAATAAGACAGCCAAGGAGAGCCGCAGGTACCTTTAGAATTGATTTTTGTTATCTATTTTATTTTTAACGCCTTGGAAAAAGGCAAGTGCTGATTCAAAGCCGGCGAAGGAGATTTAGAGCAACGCCGTTAAATCTTAATCCCCGTTTACAAGCCGAAGGAAGGAGTGGAGAGGACAGTGTTTTTTTGTTGGGGGGGAGAAGAAGAGAAGGCGCTCACCTGTAGCGACAAGATGCTGATGTCTGTGTTCAAGGTAGTCAGTGGGGTCCTGGAGGAAGGGTTCTGTCCCACCACGGGTCTCTGGTGGTGGAGGGTGACGATGCTGGGATGCGTGTCGAGCGCGATCTGGAGGTCCAGGATGTAATCGATGACGTGCTGCAGGATTTCCATCTTGCTGACTTTCTTGTTCTGCGGGATGCTGGGCACCAGCTCTTTCAGCTTGGAGTAACAGTCGTTCATGTTGTAGAGCAAACTCAACGGGTCGTCCAGCGAGGTTTTGCTTCGGGATATCCCCAGGCTGTGCTCCGAAAGGCTGGCTTTCCGGACGGATCGCACCGGGCTAAAGGCTTTCATGCTGCAAAAAGAACAGACCGCGGGAGGAGAGAGAGAGAGAGAGAGAGCCAGCCGGGTGGGTTTCTCTTCTTTGCCTGCTTTGAAGCCCACCCCGTACAACACTCCGCTGGAGAACGATGTCGCCCTTCCTCGCCTCCCGCTCCTCTCCTTCTTCCCCCTCTCCAGTAGTCAGAATGAAGTTAAGCCCCCCTTTGCTCTCGCCTTTATAGCGCTCGCCTGCCCAGCTGACAAATCCGGGCTGCGGGCGTCGCTATTGGAGGAAGGACGCGCGTCCATCAAGAGCCAAGGCGTCCCCCATTGGTACAAGGGTCACCCAAGAGGCGGTCCGGACCGTTCGCGTTTGGAGCCCAGCCTTGGCCAAGGGGGGCGTGTCCAAAGCACAGCTGTGGCTAGTAAATATACAGTACGGTGGCGCCTGGAAAGGCGGCGGTGCGGGGTGGAGGGTGGGGAGGGAGAAGAGAGAGAGAGAGAGAGAGAGATCTGCTGAGCCTCGGTTCAACCCGAGGCAATCGCGAAAGGACCGTAAGGGATCCGAAGCGGTCATTTGTTTGCAAATGTACCCAATCCTTTTTTTTTCCCCACGCGGGAAATCCAGGTCGGGGCATCCTGCAAAACCCCTGGCTGGCTGGCATCCTTCCCAACCATTATTAGCCAGAGTTGGATTGAAATCATCTTGCTTTTTTTTTAAGGCTCGGTCTGCCAGGGATGCATTGTGTGCCAGAAGAGAAAGGAGACAACAGACCAAGTATTGTCAGGACGGGAAAGAACAGGGGCTGCTTGCAATACTGTCAAATCTTTTTTTCACTGCCATGTAGGAAACGCTCCGGATTCTGCAATGCCAGCTAACACCTTCGGAGGCAGGCGGAGTGACAACTGGAGGGGGGGGGGCTGCTCCAGAATAAAAGGCCCCTCCGTTCCCAGGACAAGGCAGTCATTGAATTTCACAAGTATGCTATAAAGTAGCCGTGCAGTTAATTAGGAGAGCGTGCATTGTATACCTATAGGTGTATGTGTGTGTATACATACATACATATACATACATATACATACATACATATATATAGTTGTATCAGCGCCTTGTTTCCTCCATGCGTGTGGAGCAATACATCCCTATGATCACCGCAGCAGAAACATTTCAAACAAGAATGCAAGTTTGTTTTTCAAGGTACTCAGTCCCTAAACAGATCACTTAAGACTATTCCAATGTAATCATGACATTTAATTACCGTTCATTAACAGTCCCCTACTAAATTTTAACTTTTTAAGTTTGCATGCTTGCAATGCCTGCAAATCGCATTCCACCACATTGGCTAGCTTTGAGAGTGCGGCCATGTGTATTGGGCAAGTTTAATATGCTATCAATCCTTCCTTGCCTTTTGCCTTGTCTGTCCTATCAAAAGAAAGATAACACATCATTTTGCCACCTCTGGATTCAAGATCTGGTCAGGCACAGCAATTGAGGCCATTTTCTCCCAAATGATTGCAAAGTACATTAAAATATACTTTTTATGGTACAGTTAGAGTTACATCCACCTTCCACAAATAAAATCTTATCTTGTTCTTCTTTAGTGACAGTGATACTCATCCAATGAAGATACTGGCGGGGGGGGGGAATCAATGTGCTTGTCCATCATTGTATGTAGTGCAAATCCAGATGTGATGGTTCCTACAATATTAAGTTGAATGTGTTGGCAAACTCAAACCAATTTGAAATTTATTGAATAAACACATCTAAGCAAATTGAAGCTATTCACTTTCTCTTCAACCTTGTAAATGAAAAACAGTAATCCACCCAGGTGGGGATTTAGTGATTGGGACTCATTGGGGAGTGTTTTGGCTTCTGTGTTTCTGGAACCTGAAAACTTTATTCTATCCCCTTTCCCCCCACATCTTGTTCTTTTTTCCACTAGTATGTCATTGTTTCAGTGGATTGAATGTAGGCTTGACAGCATACCCATTAGGACTGGATTGGACAAGTTAAATCATAACTAAGGTCCTACTTGTTAAATACAGTCTGGAATATTGTGATAGAGTATACTCCATCTGCGATAAGACCCAGAGTTCAAGTACAGTAACTCTTAATGGGTGCCACAAAACACTGCTCTCTTTAAAGTACTGGGAACTGGTAATTCAGATTACTTTCATTCTCACCCAGTAACACTAAAATGGCTGTGATGAAAATTATCTTAGTTCATCTCACTGAGAGAGGAAGTTGAGCTAAGAGAACCAATATTCGAAAAGATACACGGAGTTCTTGCATTTACAATATTCATCCATTTACTTGTATTTTATAAAGTAGATTGCTAGAATTATTTATCTTCCATATATTACAAGGAATATCCAAATAATAGAGCATGCAGTGTTAAAAAAGCACAATATAGGGCTGCGATTCAACTGAAGACTGACAGTGTGGTGTTAGGTAAATTTATTTAGAAGTTCACCGAGCTTCTCTCTGTAATATTTTTTGAATGCTTGATCACAGCAGCAGCTGAGCATTTACTGCCAAAGGATGTTCCACTATTAAATACTTACAATAAGATTATAAACACCTAAGATCATTCCCATAGACTTGAACACATTTACCTTAAGCAGTTTACCTTATTTGCTCAATTACTTATACATGTATTTAAAAACTGCCCAACTGCCAGCAGATCTTTGAATTAGTACCCTCTCCAATCAGACTTGTAATTTCATGGTTTTTAATTTGGTGTACCCTAATATCATAATGAATTGCAGTGATAATTATGTCCAGAGGCTACGTGAGTGAATTTTAAATCAGAATTGGACATATTCATAGATACCATACTATCTCCCGGAATACACAGTTATCATTTTGAAGTATAGTTGTCATAATGGACAGAGAGAATTAAAGCAGTAGGAACATTTTCAACTTTACACTTTTGATACCCTTTTGTTACCATTTCCACTACTAGCAATTAGCTTTGCATTTACAATTATGCTAAGCCTAATAAGGTTAATAGAATTGCAATGCAATCTTAAGTTGTTTATATAGTACTGCAATAGAGGGTGGGATAGTCTTTCTTTGTGGCTCCAGTTTTCAAGGACAAGTAGAAATCGTTATTTTAATGCCCCAAACCAAATATTTAAGAGACCCAAGGAGGGCATGGCATCCATTTTATCTCCATTGAGTGCAAAACACAATCCATATGGTTGATGCAAGATCCAAGGCAGATCATATCAAGCCAGAAAACGGGCCGAGTCAAACTGGCGAAGGGATGTTGCAAATGCAGGAGTCAAACTGGTGAAGGGATGTTGCAAATGCAGGAGAAGCCACCCTTGCTCAAACGTCTGCCTGACACCCCTCGCCCAAAGCAATGTCAGGACCCAGATTGTTGTTGGGGGCAATATATGCTGACTCTGTAAACCGCTTAGAGAGGGCTGAAAGCCCTATGAAGCGGTATATAAGTCTAACTGCAATTGCTATTGCTATCTACTTTTCCCTCTTGCTCTGCGGACTTGGGAAACTTGAGGTGGGTTGCAAATTCTTTGCTTTCGAGCTGCAAGGAAGGGAGACCTTCCTAGCATTAAGGGACACTGAAACCAAATCCTGCAAACTTTTCGAGAGGGGGGGGGGATAAATGATGCAGGCAGAGCATACCTGGGTTTAACCCGCTTTCAAACAGGGAAAAAGCCTAGGTGTTTTGTTTTAACCACAGGAGGGAAGAAGGTTATCCAGGGATGCCGTCCCTGGGAAGAAGCAATAAATTTTATTTACTCATTTATTTTTATTTATTTATTTCGTTTTGTCACTCATGCACAAGATCACAGGAACAAGAACAAACAAGAACACAGGAAATGAGTACAAATAAGGGAAAAGGGCGGCATACAAATAAAGTATCTATCTATCTATCTATCTATCTATCTATCTATCTATCTATCTAT